CATGACGAGTACAAGTAGGAAACGAAAAACATGTAAGAAGGGTGAAGAGAGAGTACCCCACAAAAAATTAGATGAATATGCTGCAATAGATGTTCATAACATAAATTTGATTTATTTGAGGCGTAAATTGATGAAGGATCTTGTTGAAGATAATGAGAAATTCCATGATCAGGTTATTGGCTCAATTGTGCGAATAAAAATATCTAGTGATCCAAATCAAGATATATACCGCCTTGTTCAAGTTCTAGGTAAGTGAATAACTTTCTTACAAGCATATTTTTAGCTGTTTTATTTCTTTTCTTCGGTACATTTACAATTTAACTATTTTTTCTTGTGAATAAATTTTTTTTTTTAAATTAGTTCAATATTAATATGTGGAGTTCAGGTATAAGGAAGACGGATGAGCCGTATAAAATTGGTGATAGGACCTCAGATTTCATACTTGAAGTGTTAAACTTGTACAAGAAAGAAAATATTTTAATTGACGCCATTTCAAATCAAGAATTCACTGAGGTAATTAGAGATATGTTTAGCCAACTTTGTCTTTTTCTCCAACGCATTTGTTTGAAATTTTGTGATGTTCGAGAAGCAACGACCACTTCAACATTGCAGTCTTTTTATGATTGCAGTACCAGTATGTTGATTGTCTTTGTATATCTTGGCAGTATTCTGTCACCTCATAAAGGTCTGAAAAGGTTATTCTATACTTCCAAAAAATTGATGGACCAATGGGTTATGCATTTTGTGATTGTACTTCCATATGGATGCTGTAGTGCAAAATGTAGCTAGTTTTCTGCAATCTTTGATGTCAGCTTTGCATGCTCATTGAATGGGACCAATGTTTCTGATTCTAGTTTAACATTGACATCGATTTGTTATTGAAATAGCTTATTTACATGTGCCAAGTGTGTGTATCAGTGAGCATTTTTCTGTTTTTTCTGTCTCCCAATATTATTATGTACAATCTCAGTTATAAGATAGGCCGGGGAGAAAATTGAGTTTTAAATCATTGCCAAGTTTCTATCAGCGTTAGGATTAAATGTGGTGGTCGATGTTTATATAACTTGTTTTGCTTATATAGTCATCCATATAGGATGGTATATCTCCATCTTTAATCTATTTCCTAGAAGATATCTCACAGTGCTCCACTGGTCCTTCTAACATACTGTCATACTTTCAGGATGAATGTAGGCAATTACGTCAAAGCATGAGATGTGGGCTCGTAAAACGGTTGACTGTCGTAAGTATGCTTGCTGGAACTATTTCAAAGTTCGACCTGATACTGGACATTCGATTTTATTACTAATATTCATTCTTGGATATAGGGTATGATACAAAAGAAAGCTATGGAACTCCAAGCAGTGAGGCTTAATGATGTGAGTTTTTAGCTATTGTTTGGTACTTAAATTTTAGAATAATATGGTGCATGCAATGCTTCTTTTTGCTTTTTATGCTGTGTTTCCCCCTTTTTTCAGGGTGGGGGGAGGGGAATTATTAATTTAAATGCTAAGCAGATTGTTTATCTTTGGTTCATAGGTTTATTTTAGAAAAGTTTTTTTTTTTTGATGTTCATTCTCTCCTTTTTAAATGTAGCAGCTCGAGGCAGAGATATTGAGGCTAAACCATCTTCGGGATTGGGCCAGTGAGAAGGGGCATAAGAAGAAATATCCTTTCAATTGTAGCTATTTGATATTTTTAGTTGCTTAAGAGAAGGTTCTCTCCTTTAAAGCCATAAGCTTGTTACCAAATTTACTTGATGGATATAGACCGAAGGAATAAATAGAGCTTTGCCTCTTAAATCTACCACTTTAGGAACAGTCCACTTACATTTAGACAGGCCTTCGCTAAAAAGTGTATTAAAAGTAATAAATTCTGAGTCTCTGTCTGTCTTCAACTGTGATATGAAGAAAGAAATTAACAAATTTCTATTGATCCCACCCCTTGACGATTTTCACGCTCAGAGAATATATAGATAAGTTAGAGCTTCTAAAGATGCCTGAAGAACGTCAGAAGAGAATATGTGAAGTTCTAGAGATACATACTGATCCAAAAATGGATCCAAATTATGAATCAGAAGAAGATGCTGGAGGTGGTAATAACCACAGGCAAGGTATTCTACTTACGGTGCTTTGTGGACATGGAAGTGCATATTTCCATTAGTTATTTATTTTACTTTTGTTATATTGATGAAGGTTCTGACTGATTCTGATCATATTACACAGATGAATATGTGAGGCCAAACTACATGAAATTTTCTCTAAATGGAAGAAAGCCTCCAAAGAAAAAAGGTGAGGAAATATTATACAACAATAGGTAATTGGAAACTTACCTCCATGAAATTTAACCAGAGATGTTTGCACATCTTAATCAGGTGTAGAAGTGGCACCGACTGAAGCTCAATATAAAACCTGTGAGAAAATTGGTTCAGAGAAACATATAGGCCGAGTTAATATTACTAACTCACCAATTGGTGGTTGGAGTGATGAAGCCAAACTGAGGTCCGGATCCAAAACTTCAACTGCAACTCTTTCCTTGAGAAACTCAACATCTGCTAATAATAGTGAAACTGAAAAGTTCTGGCACTATTGCGACCCTAGTGGTAAAATTCAAGGACCATTTTCCATGGTGCAGCTTCGGATGTGGAGTACAACTGGACTCTTCTCACCTGATATGAGGATATGGACAAAAAATGAGCATTATGACTCCTTGCTTTTGACTGATGCTTTGAACGGACAGGTTCATCGTATGGCAAAGTTTCCATATTATGCATCTTCAAAGGCGCTAGCACTTGGAGCTGTCCCTGATAATAGATTACCTGAGGGATATGGTGACAAGTATTCAATAGCACGAACACAATATCAGATGACTAGTGGATGTGATCATGAAGATCAATCTAATAATCAGAGCCAAGCAAGTCAATCTTCTGGGGAAAATTTGAGATCTTTAGCCGCTGCTAACAGCAAAGGTTCTAGATCTGATTTGGCTCCTCTGCCTAAGTCTCCTGATTTGCCTAAAAAGGGTGGTGACATATGCCTATCAGATCTGTCTAGTCCTACACCCAAGGCCAGCAGCCAGGACTGGGAAGTTCGGAATGCTGAAAACCAGAAGTCTCCATCTTCAGCTATTCCTGTGCAGAATTCAGATATCTTGGATCTGCCAAGTCCTACACCAAAGCCGAGTGATGAATATCAGGCCACTGACACCAAGCGATCTTTGTTAGTGATGAATGGGGCACACCTTACTGAAATAGCTAATAAATGGAGTGTATATTCCCCTACTCCTGCAAAACCTTCCATAGAGGAATGGGATAATGATCTTGTCCCTGAATCTTCACTGAAGCCACTTGAAGCTGTAAGTGGTCATGCTGCGATTTGGACTTCAAATAGCGACCAACGTACTCATTCTTCTCAATCCCACCTTACATCAGATTTTCGTAGTTGGCAAGGAATTGTTGATGAACCAATTGAATTTGATGCTTTGAGTGTGGAATCAGTATCAGGTTTGTTGGCTGAGGTAGATGCAATGGAGCCTCGAAGTGATTTGGCCTCGCCTACTTCAGAAATGAAGTTTTTCAAGGAACTGATGCAAGATTTTGGTAAGGAATTGATTGAAGATAGTAAAGATTACTGTTTTGGTTCAACTGGCGATTCTTGCCAAACACCTGATCCTGGAAAAAGCAGTTCTATAAGTTCCACAAGGGATATACAATTAACCTGTCAACCTACTGTGGCATGCGAACCTGTTGGGGGCCTCGTGGCATCTCAGGTTCATACTCCTGATCCTTTTAGGAGCTCGGGTGAACATTCATTGTGGGAAACAAAGTCCACAGATACTCCAGTTTAACTGGGGAAGCTGGATAAGAGTTCCATCCTGCTGCACCAAGCAACAAGGTACAAGACAGTGGTCACAACTAAGGCTCTAAGTACTGGATCAGTAACCCTAGATTCTGGTTGGGGAACTGTGCAGCGTAACATTAATCTGGTGACCGTTCAGGGTAATATGAATCTGGTTTTGGGAGTATCTGCGGAGGAAATTGCAAAACAAACCCATTGGGGAAATCCAAACATGAATAGCTATGCTCTGAATGTGAGTCTACCAGCCGTATGGTGGTGGAGGAGGAGGAGGAGGATGTTCGAGGTCTCTTCCCAAAGGGCAATGACTGTCAATTGTACTAGAGTGGAAGATGCAAGGAGGGAGACTACCTACACCCATTATGGGGTAGTTCCATGTGCATATAATTTTTCTGTCCATTTAATTTTTGAGAGTAATCTCCCTCCAGTGCAGTTTTCATCTTATGTAGTACATAATTCAAAATTCTGGCCAATGAATTCACTGGATTCTGAATTACAAGGTATTTTGATAGTTTTCATATAGATGAAATGATGAACACTGCTCTTCGACTTGAAATAAAAACTTGACACCAGTAAGAATTATAATAAATTTAAGCAGAATAATTCTAATAAATAGATTTCCAGATCAAATACAAGTTTGTTTGTGTAGTTGTTAAATTAGTTTATCCCATTTACCATGAAATGGAGCAATAAAAACATTAAACTTTATTTCGTACAAAAAATGTCATGAAACTTTCTATTTTTGGATGGTTTGATAATAATCATTAAAGTTAGTCACTAGTTTTGGATTTTTCACTCAACTATCACTTTTTTCAAATAACCATTTTTCTTTTTTCGGAAATAAACTCTTACGACTATGAAATTTTGGATTCTTTAATCCCCATCGACACAATCCTCACGTTTCCCTAGGAGTTAGCAAAATCGCCATACCCCTTTTTCTCCGTTAGCATATAACCGTATTGTTGATAATTGGACAATAATATATTAATATTACAGAAAATCGATCTATTCGTTATTGCAAGATTTAGGGCAGTCCCGTTTCATAATCAAGTCAAATACATATATTCTGCCAAAATCTGTTAATATTCGGTTCTGGGTTCGATTTATCGATCCGATTCGAAGAGTTTCGTGAAAGATCACAGTATTCGAATGGCCGCATGTGCGGCAACTTGGCGCTTGGCACAATTGGGAACTGGGTCCTGCAGAACCCACTTGTTTGGTGCGAACAGGTTTGAATCCAGACCCATTTCAGAGCTAGCCAAATCTAATGGCAAACGCCTCTTTCTGGTCGACACATTAGCCCTTGTAAGCAATTTCTTGCATTTACATGTTAACAAATTAAATTAGGATTTTGATTGATTCAGGATTTGAATTACAAAGTATTTCGATATTTGTTACATAGGTGAGGAGATTAGAGGCCCAAGGAGTGCCATCAAAGCAAGCGGAGGCTATTACATCTGCTATGACTGAAGTTCTCAATGACAGCTTAGAAAATGTGTCTTATTCCTTTGTTTCTAAAGGCGAAATGCAAAAGGCAATCTCCTTCTCCCTACGTTTACTGGTTTCCTATGTTGTTGTTATTATTATTATTATTATTATTATTTTGGTTATACGTTTGGATCTTTATCAATGAATATACAATGTGCATTTTAACTATTTTGTTGAATGGCTGTTCTTTTTATTTTGTGTTCTTTCAGAATGAGATGACTCAGGAAGCCAATTTGTCCAAATTCCAATCTGAAGTTAAAAGCTCTCAGGTAACCCACATAATTCACTTGCTTTATTTGGGCTATATTTCAGTCGTTGGCACCTATTTATGGCATTTTTCAGATTTCCAATTGGTTGAAGGAGGAGTTTTGATGACAAAATATATCCAGCATGGCTGCTTTTCTTTGTTAAACATTTTCATGGTCCTATTGGATTGCACGTGTGACAAGATGTTGATGAATTTTCTTTTATTGAAACAAGAGGATTTTTTTTACTAGAAGGCCTCAATATTTATAATTCAAATTGATCAAAGAGAGTTGAAGAGAATGAGGTCTCTTAGCGGGTAGAAATATCACAGTTGTTCTACGAGTAACCTTACCTACAATGCACATGCGCAGGATTTGGTCTGCGTGGTAACATATATTAGATCCTATTATATGATAATTATCAGTCAGATGAAAGGAGAATGCTGGCATACACTAGATTTCAAGAAATTTCATATATTGCATCAGATATTGACTTTTGTTTTGTTGTACCATAATGCTGTGGTGTTTGCAGAATCTTCAGATATATTGCCTGCATAGAAGGTGTTGCATGTCTGTCACTTTTTAAATCTGATCCCAAATAGTCCAATTCAAGCACCACAATAAAGGCCCGTCATTCACTCGAAACTTGAAGCTAAAGCAACTGAGAAGACATATACGTTGCCTATGCCATTAAATGTGATTCCCAAAATATTTTATAAATATAATGTCAATTTTTTTTTTTTTGTATCAACATTACTTGACATTCGTCAAGATCCAAAATATCACCTGATTTAAATTTGTTATGTACCCTTGATAATCTTGCTATTTATAACTGATGTCTCGGACCAAAACGACTTAACATTGGTTGTGATCTTAAGGTTTTTTTCCCCCCGTCATTTGGATGCATTGAAAGAACATGCTAATCTAGAGATATCCCTCAGTAACATTGTGATTATACATGAGGGAATGTGCATTAGTTGAGGGTTATCTTGCAGCCATGAGATATTAGACTATTTATGGAAAGGAAAGCTACAAAACTATGTAGAGGGTTTGTAATTCTCATAATCCTTACTGGTTATCTATTTTGTCTTTACTTGCTGTTAGACCTATATTTTTCTCAAGCTTATTGCGCATGTTGAATTGATTCAAAGAAGTTTTCATGGGCATTCTTTGGACTCTGTTTCTGTGGACTTGCAATTCCACGAGATCTTTGCAGGCTATGGAGTACTTACCTAATTTGTTTGTGGTGGAAAATTACTTTCCTGTGAATTGTTACTACATATTGGAGGAGCTTTGTCCTCTTCATTTATTTATTTCTCCAATATCAGAATGATCGATGTGGAATAATAGTAGGATAAATCTCTTCACTTTTTTTTTATTCCCATTTTAACTCTACGATCTATATAGTGGCCCCTAATTGTGAAGAGAGACAGAAAGAAAAAAATTAGATAGGAAAAGTGGAGGTTATATGTGATCTCTGAATACTTATGGATTGAAGATTTGATGAGCGTAATATCCCAGAAAGTACCACATAATTCATTGGGATACAAGAAACATGCAGAACATGTTATATATTAGTAAAAACGAAACTAGCAAATACCTAGATAAGTGGGTAATGTATTAAAAACTTTAAACTCTTCAACCTGTCCTTCTTCAGCATTTTTTTCGTCAAGTTTGAAAAAGAGAAGGCATCATAAAATTATTGTGGTATCTTATAGGGTTGGAAAACTGCCGGTTGCTACAAGATTGTCATTGTGACCTTCAACACCTTATTGGAGAAGTATTGCTGTTTGATTCATGTCTGATAAAGAGAGATTATATGTAGTTTTTTTGTGAAGGAAGGGTGACTTTGGTCTTTGAATTTGTTGTTGTTACACTATCATGCCTACGATAGTTTTGCTGCAATGAAAAAAATTTCCACTTTACTATTGTGCTTGTCACCTTGCAACCTCTTTGGTTGGTTGTCAGAAGATTATGTGGGACGTGTATATCGCGAAGAGAAGTAAATGATAAAGAAAATAATTTGTGCATGTTTGGTGGAATGAAGAGTTGAAGGAAAAATTTGATCTTTAGTGATTAAAGTGGGTTGAATGAAATTGTCAAGTGTTCCAAGAATTTATGCGATAGGATGGTTCCATTGGGGTTAAAAGGCAAGTGCCACAAAATAGTGATTAGACTGACATGCTTTATGATTCCGGGTGTTGGGTTTTCATAGGACAAGATTCCCATAAGATAAACCTAGTGGAAATGCGAATGCTATGATGGGTGTTCGGTCATATTAAAATGTTATAAATGAGAAGATATGCTAACAAGTGGTCATGGCATCGAGGATAAATTAGGGGGAGGACAAGTTTGATGGTTGGATTATGTTTTGCATCAACGTAAAGAGGCTCTTGTTTGTAAGAGCCGCGTGATTTCGATAGAGCAAGTTAGAAGAGAGGAGTAGACCAAAATTAACATGGCATGCTGCACTTGTCAAACATCAAGTTACTTTAGTTCTGTCTAGGTCCAGCAATGAACAGAGCAGTATAGTGAAAAATGATTAATTAATTGACCCCAAATTTACGATGAATAAGGCTCCGTTTGTTTTAAATAATGAACTTCTTAATTTGATAAATTGGGTATTTAGTATTTCCTGGAAATTTATGTGGTTTTGCAGCAATGCAGGTTGTGGGAAAGTGTGCCCTCAACTTCTCACTTACAAAAAGTAAGATACAACAAAATAATTAACTTTTGTGCACTTTGTCTTTGTAACGACCCGGGCCTCGTGTACAAACCATTATATCATACGTACTGTCCGCTTTAGGTGGACATCTGTCACTTACCCTCTCATGGATTTCTATCGCATTCCCCAATATTCGAATTCAAGACCTCTACCTCAATGTGAGATTTAAGTTGAATCCTGGTACCAAATGGACAAATCTCTCATTAGGTAGAGGTCTTGGGTTCAATTCCTGGGAATTCAATATAAATCCGTGAGGGGGTAAGTGGGCAGATGCCCACCCAAAATGGACAGTACATATGATATGGCTTGGGCACGAGGCTTGGTCTTTACAAAAAATACGCGTTTTTTTAACTACCTAACCTCATTGTCCAAGCCGTTATATCATGCGTACTGCCCACTTTGGTTGAGCTAATTGGTACCAGGATTCAACTTAAGTATCGAAGGAAAGGTCAAGGGTTTGAATTCTAGGGACATAATAAAAATCCGTAAGGGGTAATATGGGTTCAGGCTCTTCCAAAACAGACAGTACGTAAGTTAACGGTTTGGACACAGGACTTAGAGTCGTTACAACCAATTTGTAACATGATTCAACTTAAATATCTCTTAAGGGGATGTCAATGGTTCGAATTTTGGGGACGCGATAGAAATCGGTGAGAGGATATGTCCAAGAAAAGCGGACAATACTTATGATGTAACTGTTTGGGCACGAGGCCCGGGTCGTTATATCATACGTTGCTTTGAGTTGGCATCTCCTCTCAAGGGTTAGAATCTTGGGAACGCGACAAAAAATCTTGTGATAAAATGAGTTTAAGCTCTCCAGAGTGAACAGTACGTAAGAGAATGGTCGGGCACGAGGCCTGGGTCGTTACAAGCTTCGTCTCTTCAAGTGTACCTAGTACATCAATCTTTGATACTGAAATGCTACATGAGGGCGTGGGGCTTTTGACAATTTGTGACCAACTCATTAGGTAATATGACTTTTTGTAACAAGTTTAGAAGATCTCCATCCATCTGAAATTATTGTTGGTGTTTTCACTTGGCACGATTATTTAGGAGATTGGAAAGTTTACCAATTTCACTTCTTGATGTTTGATTGAGGCATAAATTCATATTTTTAACATTATATCTCTAAATTTAGATGGGCAATAGGTGCAACATTGTGATTTAACATAACGACATTTTAGGAAAGAACGACAAAGAAGAATCTTTAAGAAAGAAAATGAAGAAGTTCTATCTGGGATGGAGAAAGTGTAATTTTTGTATGGAAAGAGTTTTACGATGATTTCACATTAAGATGATAAACATTATTTAGCCCCTGTTTGATGGTCATTATTGTGTAAAAATGATGTTTTGAATAATAATTTTTTGTAGAATATGTGGTTAAAAAGTAGGAAAAAACTTTGGGTTTATGTGCTAAATATTTTAATTTGCGAGTGTGGTTGAAAATAAGTATGAAAAATAAATTGTTTTGTTTTAAAAGGAGCTAATCGGGGGCTTAATAATGAGCCTAATAATATGTCATTGACCAAAAGTTTATTGGAAATAAGGTTTTAGTTTGTTGTTTGTTGATGTTCTATGAGATAGTGAAATTTTTTGTCGGGTTAGGTACTTAAATTAAATATAACAACACACTTCTGAGAATTCATAACATTTAGAAGATATGTATCCATGAAGCACAAGCCATTCTGAAAGAAGCTATTTAGAAACACATGGATCTGTTCCTACTTTGGGAATAAGCATAACATGAATTACCCACTTTATTCTTAATCAATTGTGTGTAAAGATCCAAATTATGCAAAAAGTCTTTCTTGCTATCAATTTTTTAAAATTTAATTTAATTTATTTATTTAATATGGATATCAATGGGATTTGACTTTACAAAAGTTCAGAAAACCTATGTCCGCCATTGATTCCAGTTTTTTTGGTACTTGACTTTTCTACCTTGTACACCCTAAATATTGGATCTGTGCCCATTATTTGTTATTGCTTCCTTAATGGGCATTTTATGACATGTGAGCTGATGCAAGAAATTTAGTTATCGAAATATTTAATCCGTCATGTTAGGACCTCTAATTGGTAATTTGGTAAACCCGAAATCAATTTGATTATAGTAGTAAAAAGAATAGATAACATCAATGTATTTTGTAGGACACTTGTTCACCTTGCTTTTTAAGAAATATATTATTTCTTTATGGAAAAACAACAAATGTATGCTAAGTTTGTTTCTTTTGAGCACTCGAACTCCAGTGGAACACTTATTATGGATTCATTCGTTATATGTTTGGTTCCTAATGCAGGATCACCATTTTTCTCTGTTACAACATGAGACTGAAAAACTCAAGAGTGATATAGAAAAGATGCGCAGCGAGCTGAGGTCTGTGCGTATAGTGTGAACTGCATATGATACCAATTTTGCATTCAGTTTTGAACATCAGACTACAATCATTTTCTTACAGATATGAAATGGACAAAGTCACAGCTGGGCAGCGTTTGGATCTTAATCTTGAAAGGGGGTAAGTTGTTTCAAATACCTCAGCTATAGACAAAATGAAGATCATAGATTATGTACACTTTCAGTGCTGTGTGGATACTTTTAGGTTGTTTATGTGTTTTTTGGCCAATGCAGGAGAATTCGGGATGAGTTGGCCAATCAAAATCAAGAAACTACTAATCTGACTAACAAACTTGATCGAGTGAGTATATCTAGCTGCTGAAAAATTGTAATTTGTATTGTTCGGTCTGTTTTTTACCTTATCGCTTCAGAACTTATTTTATCTCAGGAAATTCATGCATTGCGGGCTCAGTTGGAAGCTGCAAAATACGACGTGATAAAATACTGCATAGGTACCCTTGCCTCTGTCTCTGCTGTTGGTTTAGCTGTGATCCGAATACTGATGTAAGTTTGCACTACAATGTAATTCCCATTTTTGTGAGGAATTATATTTATTATCATGTTCAAGCTCATTGGATATTAGATGGAAAAGAAAGAACTTCCTTCTAATATGGTAACGTTCAAAGCAACATTGTAATCTCTTGATCTTTCATTCCGTCAAACATAGTAGTAGGCTGTGTTCTTTTTTGAACTTTTTAGTTGGCTTATTATCGAGTAGTTGTTGGTCTTTTTATTCATATATTTAGAGAGATTTACGAGTATCATCAACTTATTTACCACTCATTTATATTTATTTATGAGCACTTCCCAAACATGTTTTTCGGTTGACGCTTGACTCGTACTAGATTGTACTCGTGTTATGGATCAAACGCTTAGGTTGGCATTTAACGCATATGAGATTGTATACTGAATTCACACTAACAATCTATTATAGAAGACATCGAAGTCAGTTGCAAATCTCAATTGTTACTGTGTAACCCATTGCACCAACAAGTCCAAGATGAGCACCTTTAAGTCCTTGTTTGGTATAGATTAAAATTTAGATTTTAATCTCAGTCAAAGTCAACAATAAATTTTAACTGCTTTCATCAACATTTATCAAAATCTACTAAAAATCTGATTTTAATCCCACCAAACAAGGCTAAATAAAATTGGACCTAATAATTAAATCGTACATTTCTTACAAAAACTATGAACTGGTTCGGATTGTTTTGTAAATTGGATGAAACTGTGTAAAATGTTTGACATACACGTCTTTAGAACATACGTCTCCGGACTATATGAGCAAAAGTCATTAACCCTGCGACAGTGAATCAACCTGGTTATTCATATGAAGCTACCCCACCCTATTCCAGATCCATCCACCTCCTCACCACCTACCTACAAGTATATTCCTCTCTCTAGCAGAACTCTATCACTGACTGTCGCACCTCATCGTCGCTTGATATTGCTCGCATCGCTGTTACTCCGAGATTCGATCCGATGATCGATCGATTATCAACTTCGACGAGTTCGACTTCACCCCACCATGATCGGTTGCACTGCGACATCTCGTCATGCATTACTGGTGCACTGCCAGATGATTGTTTTTGACTTCCAAATTCAGATCCTCAATGGCTTTGTTCCAAAGTTTTTCAATCTGAATTTTTGTTAGATTCAGAAATGCCATGATGATGGACTCCTTTCGCTGCTCCACGTCATCTTCTTTGCCGATCAACGAAGGTGACGGGCAACTATGAAGCCACTAGTTTATCTGTTTTCAAAACCTTCCTATTAAGAAATGGTCGAATAAGTCTTTTGAGGTGGAGTGGTGGTGTTTTGAGGTGGAGGTGGTGGGGTGGAGTGGTTGTGAATATGGTGGCAGATGGTGCCAACGGTGGTGGTGTTGGGTGAATAGGGGTGAGATAAAGAATGATTTTGACCAGTTAATTGGGTATCTTGTGACCACAAACGGTGTTTGTTGATTGTGAGTTATTTGTGATTAATATGTGACCGTAACCATAAATTGTATTTATTTGTGATCGCGACCAGTTTGATTAAATATATGTCAACAAAATTTTATCCGAAGTCACAAATTTTGACTATACGATTTTTGAAAGATTTCATAAAGTTTTTTAAGTTTGAAAGCGTATATTGAAAGTACGGTAGTGATGTATTTTTTCTCATATTTTATATGATTCACATTTTAATCAACTTTTCAATCACGCATTTAATCAACTTTTATAAAAGAATTCTTTTTTAATTAAATCATACAGGTGCTAAAAATGTTTGAATATACAAATTTAAGTGGTAATTACATAAAATAGTACTTTTAAGTATTAATATTTCCAAAATCAGATTGGAAGTTTAATATTTCCAAAATAAGACGTTTTATTTTAATTAATATTTTTACTAAATATATATAATCCAACCCTAATTAATTCCCGTCAAAAAATTTTATTTGTTTTCTCTCTCTACCCCCTCCCTTCTCTCTCTCTCTCTCCTCTCATTCTCTGTTTGCCACCGGAGGAAGCTGCGTCGGTATCGCCGGAAGATGAGAAGATGAAAAGGCGCCACCGAGGCTACTGCGAGTTTGCAGTAGCGTTACCCGGCTGTACTCCCGCCGCCGGCTATACCCGGTAAAACTCGAATCCGACCACCCCACAACCACCACCATGAATAATAATAGAGAAAAATTGACAGATCTGAAACCTGTAATTAAACCTACGCTGAATTCTTTAACCCAAGACTCGAGTTCTGTGTCAAACCCCAACCCGAATTCTGGTTTTGATGACAGCGAGTGGGGCTACTGCACGGAAGAAGCAGAATCCCAAGTTCCCTATATTAACCCAACAGTGCACGTAAAGTGTTCTATAAAATGCATAGCTTGGATTTCCAATTATTGAAATGCCTTACTGATGTTTTCTTATAATTAGTACTTGGCTTTCTCGGTTTCCCCTTTCCCTTTCCTGCCTACTGCAGCTTTGATCTCGTTTCATCAGGCCAGCTCTTTTTGGTTGATTTGGGCCAGTATGATTCCAAGTCCCCAGTTTCCCATACTGCTGCTTGCGATGGTGTTGATGGGTTTGAGTTCTGCGCAGTTCCTGGATGGATGGCTGGGGAGTGCATTTCTGATGGTATAGGGGCTGGCTTTTTTGACTGGTGTTGTTTGGCGTTAATGATTGTGAATGGCGCATGTTAGTTTGTATTCTGATTTTTTTGCGTTGTGACCTGGGTTGTGACCTGTGTTTTGACTTGTGACCTGGGCTGTGACCTGTGTTGTGACTTGTGATTTGAGCTGTGACCGTACAAAAAAATCATGTCAACTGTACAAAATATGGCGGAGTTGTCGTCGAAATATTCGCCGGAGTTGGAACAGTCGTCGGAATCGGAGTAGTTGCCGGAGAGGTCGTTGGGAATAATCGTCGGAGATGTGACCTGATTTGTGACTTCGAAATAATCCGTGATCTACAAATTTTTTGATTTGTGGCCAATAAAAAAATCGTGACATATAATTTTTTTGATTTATGACCTCAAAAATAATTTGTGACCAATTAATTATGTATATGTGACCATTAATTGTATAATTGTAACACCATTATATTTAATTAATAAAATAAATAAATATTTAATTAATAAGATAAATAATTGTTAGAATCGAAAAAGTCACCGGAAAACTTCGCNTTGGTCACAAATTATTTTTGAGGTCACAAATAAAAAATTTTATAGGTAATGAATTATTTCGAAATCACAAATCAAAAATTTTATACGTCACGAATTATTTCAAGGTCACAGTTCAAAAATTTTATAGATCACAATTTGTTTATCGATCACATATCAAAATTTTTGGAGATCACTGATTATTTCGATGTCACAAATCAATAATTTTATAGGTCACAGATTATTTTATTGGTCACGGATCAAAAAATTATAGGTCACAGATTAATTTTTAGTCACAAATTGTCGAATTTTAAGGTCAGGATAGTCCATTATGCGGTCACAGATAGTCTAATCTATGACCACCGGCAACAGGTGTGACCACCAGTTCAACGTTGTCTCTAACAGCATCACCACCACCGTCCACCGCCACCACTACACCAACAGAACCCACGCAACCACCATATACACCACCATCACCCACCTCCACCGGATCTAGAAACCATCACGACCGCAACTAGATATACCAAAAAAATAGATACAAAACTGTCAACACCCCACAACCACCATCACCTCACTGCCACCCCCACCAACACTGTCTCTAATCTGAAACTCACAAACATAAACAAAAAAAAAAAAGCCCAAAAACCGCCACAGCCACCACCTCCACCCGCCAGATCTACTAAAAAATCAGATACAAAACCTCCAACACCTGACCTCACTGCCGTCGTCACCACTTCCACCATTGCCACCATCCACACCAGCATTTTCAACCACCGCCACAACCACCATTTTCAAGTCAGATTTGTGCAAAAACCAACCACTGTATCGTGTGCAAAATCAGATTAAAATCCTTTGCGGCTCTGGTGAAGATAAGCTCCACTGCGCGCGGCGCTCCCAGTTGTGGGCATCGCCTCTGCAGCTCCGATCGTGACGTTGCAGCTCCCAATGCGGCTCACGATCGAACGACTGACGAGAGAGAAGAATGGAGACTGAGAAGTGAGGATGAGGGATCGCCACAGTGGCGGCGGCGACGACGTCACAGCAGCGACGGCGGTGATGGTATTTTCATTAGAGAAGATGAGATGAAGGATAGAGAGAGAAACGAGATGGGAGAGGAGGGTTAAAGAGAGAAAGAAATGGGGAGATGAGAGAAGTAGGGTTAGGGATGTGTGGTAGACGAATTAGTTTTGAATTGTTATATTAGTAAAAATATTTATTTCATATATATTAATTAATTAAAAATATCTGATTTTTGAATAAGTAAACTTAGGATCTGATTTTTTAAGTTCGATCTAGAAACATAGGGTTTAGTGTAATTTTCACTTAAAAAATTTGTTCAAATTCAACAAAAATGTAACCAGATCAATCTGATTTTTGAATAAGTAAACTTTATACCTGATTTTTGAAGTTGGATCTTGAAACATAGGATTGTGTGTAATTTCCACTTTTTGAAATAGATTAAACTTATACTCTTGAATATGTAATCTTCCCCAAATTTAATAGGGATAATCCACATCTTCTTGGACTGGGCTAAGGCCCAACCCAACATAAGACTAAGACTAAGACGCAGTCCATTAACTAAACCACCTGGTGAATTTCTGTGGGAATTTTTCTGGGGGAATAATTCAGAATATATTCCATTCAAATCTCAAGTCCCCAACGGCTAGTTGTCGACCCACTCGCTGCCTAAACACGCGCTCCAACGGTCAATTTTCTCTCGCAACCCTATTCTATTCTCCCAAATTCTCTATAAAACCTTCCCCCATTGGACAAATTTTATTCCTCTCTCTCTCTTTCTATTTTTAACCAGAGCCGGCCATCAGAATTTCTTAATCCTACGGCAAAAGCGATACCCAGTTGAATTTTTCAGTGAATTCTTGATCCCACAATCCAAATGGAAACCCCATTATCCACCAGAAGAGTAACAAGATCACAGACCTTGGCTGACAAAAGCATTAACACCAAGAACAATATGGAAATCTCAAGTAAGTTTAAAATTTTATTCTTCTCCTCTTTCTTGATTTGAAGTATTATATTCTTGGTTTAATCTTTATTTGCTTCATTTTTCCAAGATATTTCTCAAGATTTTGAAAAGACTGTGACGAAATCAAGGCAGATGAGTAACAAACAAGGACAGGATCGATCAGCTTTTATGGATATAACAAATGATTCCCCGATTGTTGGGCTTGCAATGGGGAATTTGAAAACCCCATCATCAACAATGTCTAAGAAGAGGATCAACTGTCAGGCCAACAACACCGGTGGTACCCCGGGCTCGGGGGAGATCCTATTGAGAGGTCAGGTGAAATCCCTTTTGCAGAAAGTTGAAGAGGAGGCAGAGTTTTCGAAAGTTACTTTGCAACACAAGCCTTTCTTCAACCTTGTCAACTCTTCAATATGCCTTCTTGCACCAACTCCTGCAAATACACCCCAAATTTTGGACCTAGGTGACAGTGGAAATTACTTGCCTTCTGTTACACCGTCCCCTGTTGAAGACAAGTTTTTGATCCCTCAGGTTTCTCTTATTTATTCGTTATTAATTCTTTTTATTTTATTGGAATTTTTGGTTTTTTTTTTTTGGTATAATTTTTTGAAATACTGTTTTATACAATCAGGTGTTAAGTGAGATAACAGACGCGGTGAAACAAGATGCAAGGGAGTCTGAGAAGTGTGTGGTTACAAGGTCTCTGCTATTGGAATTTTTTGAGAAATCAGACGGCTCCGATTCATCTGTGCTGACATACCAAGGTGGAGATAGTGAAAGTAGTGAAGTGAAGCTATCTACTGATGATGATGATGAATCGATTTGGTCTATTCAGGTTAATGCAAGCAGTACTAGAGATGACTACGAAGAAGAAGAAGAAATAGAAGAAGAGGTTGAAAAAGAATGCGATTATGACTACAATATTGTCGATGAAGAAGAAGATGACAAGGGAGTGCTTGATGAGCTTTGTGAAGGAATTATCAAAATGAATATGAATGGATGCAGGAAAATGGTAAAATTTACCGGCAAACATACTCGATTTGTGTACGGCAGTGATGATGAACTTGAAGGAGAAGAAGTATGCAATGGTGAAATTGAATCTCCTGTTTCATAATCATTTGAAGGGTGTGTGAGAAATTTATTGCTTTAATGGTCGTCTTTCTTTAGACGCCATGTCAGGAATTTAAGGATGTGTGTTTTCTAGTTGTGCTTATTCTCAATTTCTGGATTTGGATTATACCCTGATGCTGTATCATTCAAAGAATTTTGAATTGCAAAATCTCTTCATAACTATTCAAATCTTACTAAAATACAAGTAATATAAGCCACATTGAAGCTGAAAAACTTTGCCTTGATCTAGATGGATTTTATCCATAAAGAAATACATTAAAAATACCTTGAACTAGAACAGAGGGCTGTCAGGAAAGGATAAAAATCACATTTCGTTACCAGATCTCCAGACAAGCGGCATAGCATTTTGAGAAGCAGCTTACAAGTGGGTCATAACATATGGGCAGGAGCATGTCGAAACCCCATTTCTTCGTCCTGTGTGAAAAATGCATCAATGGTACAGACCAGACATGCCTCATAGGTAACGTGCTCCAGAAATTCAAGCAAATAAATGAACAAGGAATTTGATGGGCATTCCAGAGAAGAACGCCAAATAAATTTCCTGTTTACATTCTTCCAATATTAGCCGATAATTTGGACAAGTCTGGAATCCAAAATGATAACTCCGACGAACCAGTTACAAACATTACCAGGAGCCCATTTGATTACAGGTGGTTCGGCTTGTGAACTCATCCAACTGGCAACCTGTCAAACACCGTCAAAGTAAAATAACAATACAAGTTGAGCAACATAAACAGAGGCTTAGTTTTGAAAATTTAACGTCAGAAATTTGAATTTAAGAAAATATGTAAAAGCCATCAAAATATATCAACATAATCATTATAAAAAATCAGAGACGCTTGAGAAAGAATTGCTCTAGTGTAGACACTTGCAAATTACAATAACATCTCCAATTTTTTTCCTCGGAGCAAGATAACATACAGGGTTAAGTGGCTATATGAGGTGGACAAGCAGATTCTAAAGGTGATAGAATATCAATGAAAATTAAGGATGCTTTCCGGGCTCGAGCTGTCAATATTTTTAGGCGTATGTTGAAAAGTGATAGATTGCTTGAATCTCATTCTTCATAACAGATTCCATTGTTTACTACTTGCCAGTAATAATTCACATACTTCTGTTTTATATTTAAATACAACCACAATACGCTAAAACTTAATACTAAGAAATTTGTGGGTCAGCTCCATGTACTCTTTTACCTCAGCATTTGGTCCAGCGTCATAATGTTTAAAAGTTACAAATTAAAAAAATTTCAAAGAAACATTATAATTGTCATAAAGAGCAGAAAACGCTGTCTACCGGTGGTGTTCAATCACTAACGCACTTGAAAAAGATTGACTGATTGGTCTGAAGCAATCGACCAAAAAAGGATTTGTCTACTCCGTTTCACCAGGAACTACACTTGCAAAAGGATAATCTTCTTGTGATTAAAGCTTTCAATACCTAAAGCATGTAGATATTGCTAAACACAAGGATCAAAGAAGAAGCACAAAACAAATATTTTGCAGAAAAATAAATGGCTATTTGCGTACTTCTTTTCCACTCTGAACACTCCAAGCATAAACACTACTATCACCAGAACCTGCCAAGTAAACCAAAAAAATGTCAATTTCAAGGGAGAAGGGAGGGAGTCACAGATGAAAGAAAATTCAAAATATGCATTTACTAACAAACAAATGCAAATTGATGGAAATGTTTAAATCTTATAACAGGCAAGTTAATTTGGCAAAACGAAATGCTTTCCTTCAAGACTTTTGATCATTTGATGTGTACTGCTGAGGAATACGGGGGAATAACACCACATTATGAGTGATACACGATATTGCTAGGACTCCATCAGGAGTGTCAAATTCAACTCCTTTAAAATTATTTATTCTCTGTATCTGTTAATTCAACTCCTTTAAAATTATTTAATCTCTGTATCCGTTTTGGAGAATCGTGTAAGATTATAATCAACCAGAGGACGAGGGGGTTAATTACATTCCCATCACATGGATACAAGACTACACTATGTAGCTGATACATCAAATAGCATTATCTTAAGAAAATAACAGGCTCTTTTTCTTTCTTTCCATTTATAGTAAGTTTTATATCTGTCACAGACAATTGACAGATAAACCTCAGCACTTCATAAAAGTGCTGAGAGGTGGAATCTCTTCAATCCATTTATAACTCTCAACAGCTAGTCTGCAATGGAGAAAACACAACGTAAAATATGAACAAATTAATATGGTTTGTACACTTAAATTTTCTTAAGAATATAAATGACTAGATATTTAAACTATGTAACCTAGATCTCCTTCAGACATATGACATCAATTCATGGTCTCTTAAACTAGGTCCTTTGCAGTTTTAATTCAATGGTACAACGGCTGTTGCAGGACTTATCCTCCACCATTTGTACTTAATGTGCCCAAAGGTGTACAAAACCACCACAAGCTCAAATTTCTTAACATGATCAGATCAGAAAGCCACTTCTTCGAGTGCTCTTAAATTTGCAACTCATCACATATGACATCAATTCATGGTCTCTTAAACTAGGTCATTTGCAATTTTAATTCAATGATACAGCGGCTGTGGCAGGACTTATCCTCCACCATTTGTACTTAATGCGCCCAAATGTGTACAAAACCACCACAAACTCAAAATTTCTTAACAGGATTCGATCAGAAAGTCACTACTTCGAGTGCTCTTAAATTTGCAACTCAGCACATACGACATCAATTCATGGTCTCTTAAACTAGGTCCTTTGCAATTTTAATTCAATGGTACAGCGGCTGTGGCAGGACTTATCCTCCACCATTTGTACTTAATGTGCCCAATGGTGTACAAAACCACCACAAACTCAAAATTTCTTAACAGGATTCGATCAGAAACTCACTACTTCAAACCCTTAAATTTATAACTCAACACATACGACATCAATTCATGGTCTCTTAAACTAGGTCCTTTGCAATTTTAATTCAATGATACAGCGGCTATGGCAGGACTTATCCTCCACCATTTGTACTTAATGTGCCCAAATGTGTACAAAACCACCACAAACTCAAAATTTCTTAACATGATTCAATCAGAAAGTCACTACTTCGAGTACCCTTAAATTTGCAACTCAGCACATACGACATCAATTCATGGTCTCTTAAACGAGGTCCTTTGCAATTTTAATTCAATGATACAGCGGTTGTGGCAGGACTTATCTTCCACCATTTGTACTTAATGTGCCCAAAGGTGTACAAAACCACCACAAACTCAAAATTTCTTAACAGGATCCGACCAGAAAGCCACTTCTTGATTTGCGTATAAGCTCACCAAGATATTCTCAATTTTGAAATACAGCTGTAAACAAAATATTTTCCCATGAAAATTTGTAACCACGTTACGGGGTATGAGACTATAAAATAAATATGCAGAATATGGAAAAGTGCATTTATTTGGACCGTACAGGTTCCCTTAACCTTTTCTTTGTTTCTTCCCCTCCCGGCCCCCTCAAAACTTACAGTAGTTTTCACTAAGAGAATTTTCATGTCACCAGAGAGTCAGTAAAATGTTAAGTGATAATCTGTCTTATTTACGAGAAAAATTGACCATCATCAAGCAACTTCATTTGACAATTGACCAGATCCAATTACATGTTATTTCAGTAACAATAAATGGCATCCTTCCAGTGCCTCATCTAGTTATAAGAGCAGCATGTTAGAAAGAAGGGTATTTTGCTGAGAACTTGCGAATCCAGAGATAAACTGAGGACAAAAAAATATAGACAGTCCAACAACAGGAAGTCAAAATAAGAAGTGCGTGATTCCTTCTGTATAGCAATTGGAAACTTCCTTACCTGATATAACACACATTCCCTCAGAAGCCTCCAAAGTTGAATTACTTGAAAAAGGCTTCACATTATATGTCGATAACTATAACAGAAATGAAGCACAAATCAGAAAGGAACATCACTTTCATAAAAGCCACAGAAGATTTTAATTTTTACATAAATGGAAGGAAAACAATGCGCAAGGGTACCGCGAAAGGAATCAAGAACGTGAATATGCCCATCTGATGTAGTCAAAAGCAGTCTTCCATCATTACTGAACTTCACAACATTTGCATCTGACATATCTTCCCCAACAGAAAATATATCAACTGGGCCCTACAACTTTGACAAATCAGTGTCTACTCAAATTGCAAGACATTGATGACTCAAACGGCCACTAGCTTTAATGCATATTTATATATGAAATATTGAACTTTTCGTAATTTCGAGCATCAAACATTCTTATGTATCATCCGAAAGCAATGGCAAAAACAAGCCCCTGATCGTCATAAGCTGCAGCTGGTCTTCCTTGGACAAGTAGAAGCAAAACAGTCCGATCAAGAGATCCAGAGACAAAATATTCTTTCCTAGAGCACAAGCTAAGGGAAACAACCCTAAAATACAAATAGTAAACCATCAAGTTCAAGCAGTACTTTGAAAAATACTATGGTTTTCATGTTATGAACTATGCCAGAACAAATAGCGGGTCAAGACTCAAGTACCATACCTGTCAATCTCATAATGACCCTTAAAGTAACGTAAATATTTGTTGTCATGCAACGAGAGAAGCCGCATTGATTCTGTAATTGTTAAAGAAATGAATCAATAACCTTCTTTTTTCTTTTGATATAATATAGGTACTTACATACCATCCCAGCCATTCTTTGAGGAGTAAATAACAGTCAATGGATGAGAGATCAACCCCATATTTTTTGCTATTTATTGTCTTCAGACATCTGAAGCATTAAGTGAGCTCTTTTAGCACATACAAAAAAACAAATATATGAGAAGAAGTTAAAATTATGTCAGTAGTTGATTAAAATGAAGCAAAAATATTAGTGTTGAAGACAAAATGTAAATGATATGCACGTGTTGCTTTTTAATCTAACAATTTAAGCTTTTAAATCAAGTGATTCAAAGTTCATAATGCTCAAACGAGACATTCGATATGTCTAGAAGCACAAACAAGCTATTAGATTTCAACATTGTCATTCTCAAACGAAACGACATATTGCGGGGACATTTAAGGGCCCACATTGGTTAATATAACATCAATAACCAATACATAAAGGTTTCTACTATTCCTTTAAACAAGGTTGAACTTTTAAGATAGAATCTCGAGTCTCAATATGTATCAAAACAAGAAAAAAATCACAGGTTTCAATTTCGCCGCCATTCATTTATAAAAACAATGTACACATGCAAGCTTTAGAGCATCTCTAAGAGACTCTATGAACATAAAATGTTTTCTATTTTAAAGTGTCAACCTTTAAACCTGTAGGAGTACTTAAAATTTCTAAGTGTTAAATATAAAGAGCTCGTTGTAGTGCTTAAATGTTTTACTCTCTAAATTTATGGATGCTTTCTAAATTGTAGACTGTGCTTTTTAAAAATAGAGTCTTTTGAAAATGCTCTTATTATGAAAAAAAAAAAAAAGAATTCCGTCTACACATAAGGAGGTATGTTGAATGATATGTATATGCCCTATGTAACAGTCTAAACTTTTAGATGAAGCAATTCAACAATTTGATATAATATAACAATGCCAGTTGGATTGAAAATCTTATATCCTAACATGTATTCATAATTTTAAATAACCCTTGAGAAGCTGGAAGTAGCATACATTTTTCATATCAAAAACTGACACGGGATGATTGAGCCACTGTTGACCATTTCTGACACATAATAATATCATCTTGATGCAGCAACAATTATTTAAAAGAAAAAGGGATGAGAAGTCCTTTTTTTTTTTTTTTGTATATGTAAGTGAAAAAGAAGCCCACTTTCATTTCTGTGTTGAATTTTTAATAACAGAATAGTAATTTCCAAATACAAGTCCTTTCATTTCCCTTAGCACAATATTGCTTTAGTAGGAGCAGAAGTTCTTTTAAATACATGACTAAAACCTTTACTATAAAATTATATAGTCCAATTTTGGATATAAAAGACAGGAAGAGTCTAAATGACTATCCCAGGTTACTCAAATTCTGGATCATAGCTGGATCTCAGACACACTCTCTTTGGTTACATAAGAACTTAATAGCTGTTAGCTCCATTAACTCAGGATAGAAAAGAGTGGTTGCATGGATAGGCCAAGGATTTCTGGCTATAAAAAAATTTAAGTTTCGGTTCATCTTTTAGTTATGGATGCAAGGTGTATGAACTTTTTTTTGGCATTTTTAGGTGAACACTACTTAGAAAAGGAAAGAAAAAAGAATTGAGTTCAATTGATATGAACTCAGCAAGGATGTTTCAAGAAAATAATTTAATTTGGTGCAAGAACATATAATATGCCTACGGAAAGACGATTTTCAGTCGAGGTACCATAGCCACTAAAAAATCCTTACAATAATAAATTCCAAGGTGTAAAAATTGCAAAAATACAAAAATTCGGACACTCATGGACCAACAGTATCGTTTAACAAATGATTTATAGCTTCAAATTTGAGAAGAGAACTCGAAAGTTATTGAAAAAAGTTAAAGAAATCACCTAAACTGAAGAGTGAAGAACGTGTAGACAAATGAATGTACATTCTATTAGCTTTTACTTTATACCTAAGCTCTCATAATACAAAACTTTTCTCAAGAGTGAAGAACGTGTGCACAAATTTGATTACGTTGCATTGGCTACGTCATATAGGCGAATTGATTCATCGTCATCAGCAGTTACCAAATAATTTGATGACTTTTGGAAATCCATCGAACTAATTCTACCATTCTGGAGAAGGAAATCACGTCAGTATATCATCTGATAAATTCACACAGTATATCCTCCCATGCAGAGCAAACACAATATTAGCTTGTCTAGAGATTCACACGGTATATCCTCCATGAAAAGCAACACAGTAGTAGCTTGACGCTTTGGACAAATTGTATATAATATCAAGAGACAAATAACATAAAACACAACATAAGAGACGTCAAAGGCTATAACCCTTTTATCCTGAGAACCCAATTATCATAGTAACACAATTCACACACATGATATCACTCCTTAAAAATTGCAGGAAATTGAAAATTTTCGATTAAGACAGTATCTATAATGTTTCACACACTTTCAATAGCAAAATAATTCTACAATTTGTAGCATAAAAGAGCACAGTAGTCCCATTTGTTTCAGCAAAAAAGGCCTCATGTATATCTTCTAATTTGCTTTACAATCCTTGCAAATGACAGATTTGATGCTTTATGTATACCATCATTACTCCAAATAGAAATAAGGACTTTTAACTTTTTAGAAAAAAAACTAAAACAGGTGCCAAACAGAGTAAGAGCACTAAAATTTCTAAGAAGGGAAAAACAGACCTCCTACTATTCGGATAATCTTTTTCCATTTTTTGCTTTAAATTTCAATGAAATGAAGAAGCTAAATTGCTAAATAATCATTATTCTTGAATGACTTTAAATTTTTTCCAGTAAGATAAGAAATTCAATTCATAACCACAATTTAAGGACAGTCCAATCCACTTTATCAAACATGTTATCAAATGTCTCATTTAATGTCTTATTTTCTTCCGGTAGAATTATTTTATGCTTTGGGTTTTTCCTCATTTGTATGTAAAAGCAGAATTCAAATTGCCGCCACAACCCATTGTCGATCAATGTTATCATTTAGAGAGATGAGATCGTGCCATAGCTTATCGTAGGAAAAGATGCTTAAGTGGCAACAAGCACCCTTAACATTTAGGCACGGAAGCAGAAGCTTGAAATAAGATTTTTTTCTTCCCCCTTTGACCTTAATCGATTTTTTCATTTCTACTAAGCTTCTCATAGGAGGACAGGTTCCAATAGAGCTACATGTTGCCTTCATATCTTCTTTTGATAAAGGAAACATTAGAACAATGACCAATAGAAGCATGCCAGCAGCTCCCTATCCTACTCTCGGAGCTTTTGCTTCTACTTGTATAAGAGTTTAGTCTTAGAAAGATGGCTTCAGTAGAACTGGTTTGATTGCTGGTATGGCCTTATTTTGCAGCCAGCGGTATCTACCCTTTAGCACTTAGGCTAGAGCCCTACACAAAGTGTTTTTTTACCTCTTCTGATCATGCAAGGAAGGAAATGCGTGAAGCTTGTTTTGATTATTTGAGCCTTGGCCCTTGTGTATTTTGAAGGTGTGGATGCATGTTGTATAGATACAAGTAGCAGAGTTAGATAGTCTAAACATGTAAGATCATCTCTTATTTCTGCAATTCTTCAAATAAAATTGTGTAAATGGAAGCAATGTTGTGCATTTATCGAGTACGTCATCAGTAGAATTATGTTACTCTTTGCATCTTTATAATTCATTGGGAAGTTGTATACTTGCCCAACTTCAATGTAAATATGCTATTATTTGCATCTTCGATGTTCATCTTCAATCAAGTTGGAATTTGACCACACAAAGTGCATTTGCTGATGCTTAGCTTCCGTTCGGATGAATTTATAACTCATTTTTAAATGGTCAAACTTCATTTTCAATTATAAATTCCAATGAATATACGAGTATTGTCTACTTATCCATTGCTCCATTACACATTTCTATCTAGCCTCCTCAGTGCTAGGGCCAGAGTCCAAATAGTAGGGCTAGAGAAAAGCCAATGATCGTTGACACACACTTCTTTGATTCCATTGTAACGTAAATGAGCCTAACCCATCACTGTAAAACTGGAGGTTTGCCTTCAGCTTATACACTACAAATCTCAATTGTACCGGACTGTGGGAAATGCAAACAATGCACTCTCACGATTCATAGTATTGTTCGTGTTTGAATACAATCATGTCTATATTTACATCAGCAACTAAGTGATTTGTTTTACGATCAGATCCAACTGCTACCGGGTTGCTTCATCACCCCAAATCTCCTCATCAATTCCCTCACAGCGGCCGACTCTTCCCATTTCTCTGCGCTGGCATAAAGATTTGACAAGAGAACATAAACAGCTGGGTCATTATATTCAGTTTTTAAAAGAAATCCTGCAGCAATACTTCCCTAAAGATTTGACAAGAGAACATAAACAGCTGGGTCATTATATTCAGTTTTTATAAGAAATCCTGCAGCAATACTTCCCAATTCTAGATTACCATGAGCAACACACGAACTGAATAATGTCCACCAGACACTGGGATCAATGTCAATATCATTATCGTTAATTAGTCTCTCTGATATATCAAGAAATCCAGCTCGACTTAACAGGTCAATAACACAAGAAAAATGGTGCACTTCAGGTTCCATACCATAAGTACGGACCATTGAGTTGAATATCCTAATGCCGTCAGCAACTAAACCTGAATGGCTGCAAGCTGAAAGAAGTGCAGTAAAGGTGGCTTTATCGGGTATTATTCCACCAGAATCTTGCATAGCCTCAAAACAATCAATAGCTTCCTTGCCTTGTCCATGCTGTGCATGGGCAGATATAATTGAGTTCCAAGATATGATATCTTTTCCAATCATTGTCTGAAAAACTTTCAAGGACGAACTCAAAGCTCCGCACTTAGCATACATCGTAACAAGCGCATTGCCCAGAGAAATTTGCGAAAAATACCCAGAAGTGAGAATGTATCCATGAAGCTGTTTTCCATGCTGTTGATCCGAAATGCTGGAACAAATGCTCAAAGCATGGCAGAGGGTGTAAAAATTTGGCCTCAATCCTGATAGAAGCAATTCATGAAATTGCTGCAAACCGCCTACTGGCAATCCGTTTAATTGAAATCCAGAAATTAATGTATTCCAAGAGATCAAATTCCTGTGGGACATTTCATGGAACAGTTTATTGGCTTGGTTCAGTTCACCAAGATTGGAAAAAGCAGAAAGCAATGCATTTGAAACTTCAATTTTCAAGATAAGTGCTTTTTTTGTTACGCTGGCTTGAATCATCTCAACAACCACTAGCAACTCGGAGCTCGCTAATAAGCTTCCAATTGTAAACTCATCGGGTTCAAAGTCGTCCCTTTGCATCTGAAGGTACGCTAAGATTGCATCTGCACTCAAACTCTCTTGAGCATAACTTGTTATAATTGCATTCCATGACACAATATCCTTCTCTTTTATTCTCATGAAGACCATGCGAGCTGCATTCAAGTCCCCACAACTAGAATACATGGTTATTGCTGCATTACTCACAGACGTACAATCTTCAAAACCCATCTTAATAGCTTGGCCATGTACTTGAGTAGCAACTCTAGACAACAAACACACACTTATGACACTCACAAAAGTCAATTCTGTTGGTCGCCAACCAGCTTTTTGCATGTCTTTGAAAATTATCAAGACGTCGTCACCTCTTTCCATGCTTGATAGACCAGCCATCATTGCATTGTAAGTTATTTCATCTCCTAGTTCACCTCTTGTTTCCTCAAATACTCCATATGCATCTGTAATACTTCTGCAGTTAAAATACATAGTAAGTAAAGCATTAATCACTGAAGATCTCACCAAAAACCCAGTCTTGACAATCAATGAATGCACTTGCCTTCCAGAATCCAACATCTCTAAAGAACACAAACTCAAAACACTAGCAAAAGTATAATTATCATGTTTTACACCCAACACATGCATTTTCTTGAAAAGATTAAATACAACCTCAGTATGTCCATTTTCAGCACATCCAGTGATTATCGCATTCCAAATTGCAACATTTTCTTGCGGACTTCTATCGAACATCCAAAACGAGTACTCCGATTCACCAAGCTTCATACAAGCTGATAACAATGTGGTCCACGAATAAATATCCGGTCTTTTTATTTCATCAAAGACCATTTTGACCAAAGCTATATCCCATGACTTTGCATAAAGGGAAAGCAGAGTATTTGAGACATGAGGGAATTCTTTGAAACCGGACTTCATGGCATGGCCATGGATTTGGGAACCAACATATACATCACGAAGGTTGCTGCAGGCAGCAAGGGCAGTCGATAAGGTGTAATGGTCAGGTTTCAAGTGGTGGGTAGAATGGATTTGTTGGAAGAGGTGGAGAGTGTCCCAGTATTTTTGGGCGTGATTGAGGTTTTTCAGAAGGCAATTGATCTTAATCAGTGACTCGGTGAAAATTTCTGTTATGGCTATTTGAGAAGAAGCTAGATTTGATAAAGAGTTTCCAATTTGATGCAATTTCATGCCACACATGAAGATTTGACCATTAACAAAATAAAATCAAACTCTAATAAAGCAACAAGTGCAAAGCAACCAAATCAGCTTTGTTGGTAATTACATAGCCTTCATTTTAGAGCATAACGTGAAAAGGGAGGGCACCGGAAGATCAGCCTTGCCTCCACACCACTGCAGCCAAGAAAAATTTAAACAAGGAAGAATTAATAGGAAATCATAAACCCTAACCTTGAAAATGGCTAAGAAAGGGTGGAAAAAATAAATAAATAAATGGAAAGAGGGAAATATTGGAAAGCTAAAATACAAAGAAAATAGAACCAAATTAGAATCTGGGCCAAAGCCCAATAACCACGTGAAGGGTCGAAAAAAGCACTTAAATGTATTCCAAGAGATCAAATTCCTGTGGGACATTTCATGGAACAGTTTATTGGCTTGGTTCAATTCACCAAGATTGGAAAAAGCAGAAAGCAATGCATTTGAAACTTCAATTTTCGAGATAAGTGCAGAAAGCAGATGTGTTCTAGAAGGGAGATATTTGCACTTGATCCTTTGTGTAGTTCCTTAAGTCCTAGGATGGTCGAGGTCTTAGTATGCACTCAAAATTGGTTGAAAACTTCTCCAAACTTGGATGGTTTTTGCATGGTAGATGTTGAACATTATAACCAAATGGATGAACCTTTAGATTCAATGAATTCAAAATCAACTGAAGATGACCACGGCCCCAACGTAAGTAATTCATTCATTTTACAAGATTTCACGATTCAGTTAGACATATATATCAGTTTTTAATTTCATGATTCGTATGTTTCCATCAGATTTTATGAAAATCAGGATCTGGAACATTCATGGATGCTGCCCCAGGTTTATTGTCCCCTTTCTTCTGTTTTGTGGGCATCTTCTCATGCCATGTTTGGAATATGATCTAATGTAGCCTTTTCCTGTATGGGAGATGTATTTTAAGAATTGTTTGTGGGTCTATTAGGTATTTTGGTATGTTCAGATTTGTTACTTGAAAGTTTAATTCAGTGTAACTTGTATTCAGGAAGGATTTCATTTTTAAAAAAAATAGTACATTAGTGTTTGGCTGATTTTGTGTGTATCAATGACTCGACAGATTTATGATTTGGAAGCTCAATGAATATCCTCAGATTTAACAGGTTTAACAGATTTGTGCATTGCTAATGAAATCTCAGATTTAACAGATTAGTTCCAAAAATTTAACAGGTTTAACAGATTTTTAGTAATTCTTTGAAAGTTACTCTTCATTTCAACTTATTAAATTGCATGCCATATTACCATGAGTTGGTATCAGGGCGGAGCCAGGAATGAATGGTACGGGGGGTCAAAGATTTTTAAAATTTAATGTACGAATAAATTTTATATATAACAAGAAAAATTGTAATATAATGTTACATATTACAGTTGTACCCGACGATATTTTATAGCATAAAATTCATCTATAATAGAATCTAGATCTAAATTCATACTAAATTCTCGTTCAATGTTTAGTGTTAAACAATCAGTCATAAAACCATCATCCATTTTGTTACAAATTTTCGTCTTCACATGTTTCATTGCTGAAAATGCTCGCTCAAATAAGCACTGAGCTCTCATTTTGAAAATTCAACATGGCTAAATTCCCAAATTTCCTAAATAAATTCATAATTTAACACAATCTTTAATACGCCCTTCAAGCATCTTCACCAAGACAAAACTAGAAAATTTAGCACGATTATCTCTACTTCTACATACGAAGATATACATATCCATCAATACCCAATTTTGTCAAGCATTGACAATTCTCCAATAAAAATTATGGACAAATAAAAATCACAGCTAAATGAGTAACATCACAACTTTTATCCCCAATTTTCACTCAATCAAAGTTAAATAGAAATCATTAAAATAAGTCAAATTGAGCATAAGTTTGCAAAAATAAACAAATTGAACAAGCAATTAGAGTCCAAAACAATTTCAAAAATAGCCCAAGAAAGTCATTCATAAATGAAAATCATAAAATAAAACTGTAGTACTTGTCAATGTGGATTTTCAATTACCTGAAGGGCCGGCTGCTGATTGCTGAAGAAGGTGAACACTGAACAGAGAAGTGAATCAAGTGATTGCTGTTGCTACTTGCTAACATGCTGAAGAACAGTGAAGGCTGTGAAGCCGTGAAGGTGAAGGACAGTGAAGAACTGAAGTCTGATTGTCTGAAGCTGTTGCTGAAGAACAGTGAAGCCGTGAACGACCGATACTCCGATAGTGAAATTCAAAAACTGAAAGTTCTGAAACCTCAAGGCTCAAACCGTGCTGATTCTGCTGAACAAGAAGACTTCGGCGGACGGCGGTGGTCTGAAATTTTGAAGGCTGATTGGCTGAAAGTGAAGGTGAAATGGAAATGCCGTCGCCGAAATGGAAACCTCAAACCATAAACCGTGAAAATTTAAAAAATATGGGTGAAACCATGAAAGGGTCTGGGAATTAATTGGGTTTTCAATTGGGCTACGGCCTACTGGGCTTGAACAGTGGGCTACAACCAATTTACATATAATTTTAGCCCACCACTGGATCCGCCCTGGTTGGTATCAAATAGGTTTGTGGTCTTCATTACCTGTTTTGGTGCGACAACAGAGTTACTTGCATTGGTTACTTTCTGTCCAACTTCTTCAGTGTTTTTGTGTCTTGCATTTGCAGGTTGGTTCCCTTACTATATTTAAAGCATGTTTAACTAAATTTAAAATCCAATTAAAATTGAAAATATAGCCGTTATTGGATCTTACTCGTCTAATAAAAGTCAACAATAACGACTAATTTTTCAATTTTAATTCGATTTTAATTTCTAATGAACATGCCCTTAGTTAGTTGTAATTGATATTTTTATGCTCAATTTTGCATCTTGTACATTTTCCTGTTTTTTTTTTTCCATGTTGAAAATAATAGCCAATTTCCTCCCAAACTAAAAAATAAAAGTAATTATTGTCATTAGTGTTCAGATTACTATTTCAGCCCTTGGACGGATCCTTTTTTTAAGTACTTACACCGCCGATTTGTAGGATTTCTTGTGGCTTGATTAAGCAGTCCTTATACGAAATAAAATTATACCGATCATATTAGTATAATAGATTGAACGACTTTAATATTTGTTGATAAGTTGTCTCAAACCGACCAACCCAACCATACCGATACTTGATTTGGTTGGATTGAATTAAATTTTGATCAAGCCGATCATGTTGAGTTGTGTTTGGGTTAAGGAAAAAATCGATCCGATCCAACCCAATTCATGCCCACCCCTAAGTGTTATGATGTTGTTTGGACGAAATTGAGTCACTTTGTTTCTTCACACAACCTCCAAGAGTTACAATATTCGGAAAAACCTATATTAAAATGTCAGTTCTTGTTGGGGAAATTTTGTGCAATAGTTGAAAAGTTTAAGGAAACCATACCCAAATTATATACTACTAATTAACTAGGTCTATATACGCCGCGATACACGAGAAGTCTTGAATATGACACAAGTCATGGAAACTCTTAGAATAATATTATAAGATTTGGATATAATGCATTTTACGAAAATTAGTATAAACAAATAAACATTCAATACAAAAATATTTTAATTGCCAAAAACATTTCTTGGCTTCATATAATTTATTATCAATCCGTCCATGTAACATTTTCGGGTATGAAGTACCAAAATAATTCTTTTTTTTTTTTTTTTTTGTCATTGCAATTATAGAGATCTAATATTATATAAGTCATGAGTAAATTATAAATCCGCTCAAGCCGACCTGCCTACTTTAATCTTTGTTGACAAGTTATCCCAATCCGACCAATTCAACCCAACCAAATCCAATCAATACTTGATTGTGTTTGATTAGATTGAGTTTCAACATTTACATGAGTTGGGTTGAGTTTGATTAAATTATGATCAAACTGATGATGTTGGGTTGAGACAAAAACCGACCCAACCTAACCCATGCCCACCACTTTGCCTCAACCCAAACTAACCCATGCCCACCACTATTTGCATGTTACAAAAGTGGGTTAATTTTACTGGCGATCATCAAACTTTCACCATAACTACAATTAGANCCCTCGTGGGGGCTCGGGGCCAAAGACGATGACAGTAGGAAATAAATAACATTTTTAATGGCCTTTAAAAAAAAAAAAAAAAACCTCGGATTTTCGGGTCCTCTTTGAGCTTGGGGTACAAGACAACGGCCTCATCTATCTCGCCTCATGTCTGACTTTGTTCAAATGAAATCTCAATATTTTTCTCTCTCAAAATCCACGGGAGCCTTTGCCAACAAAATATTTTGCCAATCATTTAATATATATTTTTATTTATTTATTTCTCAGTTACTTAAAAAAGAATAAATCCTTATATAAACCCAAACCATTTTCCATCTTATCATTCTTCGCATTAATTAAGAATTTCCCTCGCAATGCATAACGATAATTCATTCACTATGTCAGCCAACAACATAAACTCTCTGTTGGGTGAGGATTAAAATCAGATTTTTATTAAATTTTGATAAAAGTTAATTAGATATGTGGTTAACAAATTGTGGGGTCCAAAAAATGTGTAATTAAAATTAATTGTTGACTTTAAAGCCCTATTTGATTGCCACATTTTTCATGGAAAATGTCACATTCGAGGAAAAAAATTCCACTTTGACCGTTTGATTACAACGTGGAAATTGAAATCGAATACCAAGGTATAACTACTTTAAACTGCATTTTCTTTGTTTTCATGGAAAACGAATTCCTATGAGTTTGGTGGATTTTTATTTTCCAACTAACATGGAATTAGAATTCTTTTCCACTTTTGCCTATCAAACGGACCCCAATTTAATATATATTTTTATTTATTTATTTCTCAGCTACTTAAAAATGAATAAACCCTTATATAAACCCAAACCATTTTCCATCTTATCATTCTTCTAGCATTAATTAAGAATTTCCCTCGCAATGCATAACGATAATTCACTCACTATGTCAGATTTTTAGTAAATTTTGAT